GTAAGTAGGCTTCCGCGTCGCTTGGCTGGCTCATACATGCGTAGATCTCTCTTTACTTCACTAGGGATACATATACTTGCTCTCTCGTGTTGCCAATGCATTGGGGTATATGGCTATCTAATTTACGTATCTTTTTCTGGCTAAGGTCATTGTCTTACTTGCTTCAGTTATCGTGGCTATTGTCTGTACTTTGATATATACTCATTTTTGATATATTTAGTATTTTTGCTTTAGTGAAATATATAAAACTATTTTAAGCATGTATTTTAAATATTAAATAGTTAAAAGTAGTAGTTATACCTAATCAAATAGTCATACAAGACTTACTGCTAGCGCTGGGCTGAGATTAATAAATGTACATAACCTTTCCCAATCTTCCTCCTGTACGTAAACATTTTACTTGTTACTACTACTACGGCCTCACACTATGCAGGGGTTTCGTCTCCATGGCGGAGGTGGCGAAAATCTCGGAAAATAAGTTCTTCAGGTGATGAATGCTGACCCATTATATCTCACGTTGTCTCACACTGCGGCGGAAATTAAGTTCGCGTTTTCCCCCCGGCGTTGTCGCTCTCCACCACCGCCGCCTCTTGAGACCTCTGCACTGTGTCCTCGGCAGCCTCGCCTGTCCCCCTGCCCTGGCTTGCCCCCCGCCCTGAGGAGCCACCGATCGAAAGGTCGGCTGGCCGGCCTCGGGGTTTTGCCTCTTTAACTGGGCGCTTTCAACTCTTTATTATGTATTACGATGAATATAATTACTGACTGATTAAAATGACAAAGCTCGCCCAGTCAGAGAGGCAAAACGAAAATCTCGAAATAAGTGTTCCTTGCTGAGTGCCTTGGCACCTTGGAATGCCTTGTTATGCCTGGTATCTGAATTGATCACCAAGACACAGTTTTTGCATGCGTCCTCTCTTGGCATGCCACACAACCTCATCCAACACCCGATTTTCTGTGTAACCGATCTGTTGTCTGTTTTCTGCTCTTATAGAATGTTTTACAACATATATTTTTATCGTCTGAAAAGAGATGAAATAACTGGATGTAATCCAACTGCCTTCATTTATATGCAAAGTTTATGTTTTATATATAAGAAAAGTACTCATAAATGTGACGACGGCGATGGTTTTAGATATATATTCTATGAATTGTAATTGCGTTGTGGGAAATTGAAAAACATAACTGTTATTCAGCACAGTTTATGGACTGTCACTGTCATCTGATTACTGTTGGAGTGTGAATGCGTGTTATAGGATATTACCTTCGCGTAAATATCCGAGCGTCATATTTCGCTGTTAGCATATTCGGCCTTTATCCCGAGGAAATGAGAATGGCGCTTATACAAAAAGGCAATAAATATGTGTGCCGCTTGACATCAAACAGAATACAGTTGGCGCAGATCTGGTTTGCTTTGGAATGGCTTGCATGGAGACTTGTTGGCAAAGGAAGTAATGAATGCATTTTATGCAACAGCTTTCAAGTCGCATACGTAGTTTCGCCAGACGTGGTTGCGACGTCGAATGGAAAGCCACGACGGGCGCGAGAGGGATTTTGAGCGCGCCCGGAGCAGGGGAGGAAGCGACAGCCTAACATGCACCAGGCGAAGCGCGAGTATTTTGGAGTAAAAGGAAAATGTGGCTCCAGTTAGGCATAGGTGTTGACACACGGCTTAGCAATAGGAGATAAGTGAACAAATATAGTTTGCGAGAGTTCACTTGGCGTAATGGTAGAACTGAAAAGGCGAAGCGAGTGGCGCGCGAGATATTCAAATTCGAGGCGTGTGCATAAACCGGGTACGGCCTCACCTTTGCCAAAGTAATTCCAGTTGAATTAAATTCACGCCGTATTATATTGCACCATAACGAACGTGTGTGCTTAGACTGTAGGAATTTAGATAACGTTTTCAGATGAATTGTGGGAATGGAGGAGGAAACTCGGTCTTGCCACCCGTCACCGTCGCCCACTGCGCCTGCACCGCCCGCGCCGAAAACGGGGGAAGATTTACGATTTTCTCCCTCGCACTTCGCGGCAAAATGCGGCGTTTGCGTGGCTCGCCACAAAGGCCAAACATGCCCTTTCTTGGATCTGGTCCTTCGAGTGCGCCCTTACCCTCACGTGCTCTTTAAACATTCGAGTACTTGGGATGTGATGGTGAAGTGTATCCATAAGGGGCGGGAAGTAGGAGTAACTGGCAAAATGTCTTGCATTGCATTCTGTATTTTTGCACATCAAACTGTATTTCTCTTACTCCGAAGATTCTCTGACATCTATATTACTTTTATGTAATATAGATGTCAAAGTAATACTGTATGACGTTTAATGTAATTTAATGTAATGATAATGTAATGTTGTATGATATTTACACTTCTTCCAATATGTGTTACATCCCAGAACAATCCTGAGTACTATCCAAATTAACCATGCTTGAGTGTGTGTTAGTGCTTTAATAATACCATGAAGCAATTAAGATTTTTGCGTAAAGTGGAAGTAATGTCATCCTTTCGTACATGCTATGCAATTGATGCTGCTGCGGGATTCAGCTTTTAGAAACAAAAACTATTTTCCAAGTACACTGTAGCTAGCTTAGCAGTGGGGCAAAATGAAGTAATAGTTTCTAATGCACTGTGTTATTTGATTTTACGATAGGAATATTTCATCATTTGTATTCTTTAATATGAAGAAATGCAAATGTCAGATTAGAAATTATCTGAAATGTCACTTCTATAACATTATAGATTACATAATAGAGAAAACGCTGTCCTCTTGTTTTTCTTCTCACGGTCTTTAACAGATATTAAAGTCTTTAGAAATATTTCCTAATACTGTTATACTCTTTTTCTTCTTCCTTGATAGGTCTCTCGCTGTCTGCTTATCCTGCATTTTATTACGAGAAAACGCGTTTGGAAAATCTTAGGTACCTGAACGTGCGGTGATCATAAAGTGGACGGTTTTGTGTATGAATCTCTGTGTACAAATGACGTCAGGAATGATGGAACCACAATGTGATTACGGAGTCAGCTGACGGTGTTAGCACAAAGGGTTCCAAAAGCAAGTGGCTTTTCTAATGTTGAAATAGAGCTGCATCAGCTAAAAGTGTCCTTTTTAATGATATATAAACAAAATGTACAAATAGACAAGAATAGAGGCCAGGTCTTCAACCTGCGGCGGACGCGCCTTGCAGAGCATGTAGGGATTTGAAAAGCCAGTTAAACTACTTGTTTCAACATATTTTTGAGTTCATACAAATGTGTTTAAACACATCTTTTATTATTTGGTAGGATTTGTAACAGAAGTTGTAACTTTATATAAATGTGCACTTTGATAGTTTGCTAGCTGAGATTGACTTGTCTTTCTTCAGATGTGTTAAATGTTGATTTTGTGAAGGATTTGTGTGTTCACGAAGTCAGCACCACCTTAAAACGCTGATCCTTGATGTCGATCCGTTCGGCTGCATGGCCGGATCGGTATTGCCTATTCACTTTTTGCAATGCGATGCTGTCCGTGTGTCCTCAAAATCTCGTGCTGTTCACTGTCAATTGTTGGCGGTCTCAAGATCTCAGTTCACCAACAAAAAAAAAAAATCACGATTGTAAACCGACGGTATATTAACAGACGTCAGAAATCATATTCATGAGAAAAATTCCACTTATATATAACTTTATTATTAAAAACAAATAATCTCACAATGTCGGGAGCTTTTGCTCGCTATATTTTTTTTCATTGCCTTTAAAACCGAACGTAAGGACGGAAGTTTCTCTAGATGTGTTTTAGAGAATTTAATTTCTATATTAACTGCCATTTCCATTTTTTTAAGTGTTAATAATTTTTCTAGCTACGTCAATACCTGAATTCAAATAGAATAAAGTAGCGAAGTGGACAATGAACCTCCGAGAGAGAGACCACGAACGCGCTGCGTCCGCTCCGCCTCGCCATCACGCGCCCGCTTTGCCTGACTCCTCCTGCGCACGATCTCTTTTGAATTCCGTGTGATTAACTTGGCTTTCAAATCTTATCGGTCACGTGTTGTGTTGTGTGGCTGTGCTTGCCGCACAGCTGAGCGAAGCCACAGCTGTCTCTCTCCACTCGAAGCCGCCAAATGACCTGGTAGGTCGCTTCTTGTATGGACGCCTATCTTCCATGAAGTGCGTTGCATTTTGAGTCCAATATTGCAAGAAAGCTTGGAGATGACTATGCATGCTTTTTATTTTGAGCGACTCAAGAAAACAACAGATCCCTGATATGTTGACATGTAGCACTGATATTATGGTAATTGTGACAGCGGAAGATGGGAAGCCCTGGGCATGTCGGCGAAAGAAAAACCAGCTCGCACCGGACACGAAACAGTGGTGTGAAGAAGAGAAAAAGTCAGTACCATAGACATGAGGTTCTGGGGATGTGAAATGGATATGTAAGCTAGACTTCTGCATGTTTACTGACTAGAAGAAGTGACGTGCAAGAGTATATTCCCTACCTTGTTGCATCTATCGCATGTAGACTGCAGAGTCAGGCTAGAGACGTGCTCTCGCCGGGTCCAGTAGCTCCCTTCTCCTGCTCCACCTGTCCCCAGCCTATCCTGACTCCAGAATCGCACCGACCTAAATCCATCCTCAGTCTGTGATTAGATAGAACCTAGCGACATGAACGTGCGCTGACCTCCACGTAAGTGATGTCCTCCTCGCTGTAGGAACCAAAGTGGGGTCGGTGCCATCCCCCCACAAGGTGTCGCCGCTGCGCGCTTACGACGTGGACCATCGGAACGACCGGTTCTATTAGGGCGGCCGGCGAGCAGGACGGGAGCGCTTTGGTCCCGAACCCGGCGAGGCGGCTGAGCTAAGACACCTGCATCGTCGCCAGACAAGCAAGTGGTGTGGTGAACAACTTGTGAACAAAGGACGCTGGAGACACACCCGGGAAGTGTGGAACGAGGATTCCCTCTAAGCACACAGTTCGAAAGAAAGAATATATTGATCTAGCTTTGAGAGTGAGGAAACAGAGCACAG